CCATCTCCGTCCCGCATTGCCTGCCCTGTCTAAGCCAACGCTTGCCGTCTCGCTTGCTCGCGCCTCACAATGACCCAGTTTCCAAAGCGGAATGTAAACAAATTTGACCTGGAAAAAAGAGTTTTTGTTTTGTAAACAAACCGCGACTGCGACGCCGACTGAGGCGGCTCAAAGTGTGTGCCCGTGTGTGTGTGTGCAAGGTGTGTATAGATTGCGTTTTTGGCAAACGCAGAAAATCGCTAATAAAGCAATTTAGTTGACGATTGTTGCTGGGAAATGTATTAGTTAGTTTTGGGGTTAAATGGAACACGAAGAAGGAGCAGAAGCGGAACGATGGTAAAGAGGCATTAAAGAAGAGTGAAGAAAGAAGAAGAAAGGAGCTGAAAGTGGTTAAAGCAATACCTAGTTTGAGAATTCACAGTTGTTGAAGGAAAAATCTTAAAAAATATTTATTAGACGTAAAATGGGTCTAAGCCACTTTTCCAAGCTGCCTTTTTGAATGTTCTCACATTCACGGGGCCTAGAGGCAACCTTCGTCTGGCGCCCAGGCCAAGTTCCACCCCGACCTCTCCGCTAACAACTCTTTCCGTGGGCTGGCTGTGTCTTTCCCTTCCTCCGTGAACCGCGATGATCTCATAACTCAATGAACTCGGCGACCTCCACTTTCACTGACTCTCCTAGCTAGCCAGCTACTTCTTCGCCATTCAAAAATTTCTCACATTTATTACCAGTTGTTGATGTTCGCTGGCTGTTCGTGGATTTTCCCATAATCCCTCATTTTTGGCCATTTTCTGCACGCCTCTTGCTGTGCTTTTATTATTTGCTGGCATTAGCATAAAAAATGCGAAATTCCAAAAGAGTTTCATTAAACCGAGTTCGTTGTGGTCGCCTACTAGGGTTTGTTTTGCTTTTTATCTTGCAGCAGTCATGTAGCCTGAGACCGCAGTCTGCACTTTTTCATTCGCGAATCGAAATTGGCTCACGTAATAAATATCATAAATTGCGTTTTACTTTGACACACATTAGCCGAAACCGCACCAAAAACGAACTGCGAGGCAATGAACGCTCTGTTTTTGTTATTGGTGACTTGCGGCCGTCGTTTGTTATTGTCGTGCCCCGCTTTACTCTCCGTTTTTATCTGCAAATTTGTTGTTTGGCCTGAACTTTCTGCTTTCGCCCTTGCCATTTGAATAATTACGTTGGAATCATCATTGCCATCCTCGCGAGAATCTCCGCGCCAGCAGTCACTCTACAGGGTCGAGAAATTCTCAGCAGCAAATTAATGATTTGTTATTGTTTGGTTTGTGCTTTGGGGTTCGGTGTTTTTTCGCCAAGGCCTGCATGGCGTATGAGTAATTTGTTGTCTGTTTATTTATTGAATTTAAATTGCGTTGGTCCCAACCGTTAATTACCAGCAACAACCGGCAACAACAAGGCACTAAAAGAGAATAAAAATGGTGAAAAATATGAAAATTATGAGGAAAATTGGCAGGGAGGCGCGGGGGAGAAGGCAGGGAAAAAGCCGCTGAAAAGTAGCCAGCCACGCACAAAGGAAATCTGCGGCCGGGGCAGAGACTTGTTGTCAGCAAACAACAACGAAACAGATGACGAAAAAAACAAATACCAAGCGCAACAAAAAACACTACACAAATGGCAACTGCAACAGCGACAACAACAACAACAACTGTGAAGTTTTTTGCCCATTCGGCTCCACTTCACTTAGCAACATTGTTGCATCCACAGACGGGCAGGGGGAGGCGAAGAGGGGGCCGCAGACAGCCAGCTCAATGGAAATGTATGAATTGCATTTGCTAAATAAAAAGAAGCAGATTGCAGACGGCAAAAAATGCAGAAAAAACAGCAAACTGCTGCGCCTGCGCCAGCGGCAGAAAGTGAAAGATGATCGCGATTGCAGGCATAGAAACCAGGACAGATGGAGGGGGTGCTCGGTGGTGAGGAGGTGGGCAGACAGGCCGAGGGGAGGGGGGATAGGTGCAAGACAGATCACACAATGGGAGCGTGAGTTGGCAAAATATTTGCCGTAGTTCGGGATACCCTATCCTAAGACTGGGCTACCATCGCTTGTTACAGCTGTTGGTGTTAAATTAACTGGTAATTAGAGTTAATAACGGAATATTGTCCCCATTTGATTCAGAAAGGGAGTGATAAGCAAGGTAACCCTTCATGAAATAAAATTTAACTTTTATTAAGGATCCATCTCCATCGAGGGTATCGATAATTTCCCCATCTAAAGACACACTTTTCCTCAGTTTTGATTTCGCCAAACAGTTAACAATGATTCCAAGGGGGCTTGAAAGTTTCCGCCTGCTCTGGCCCGCTCTCTCACTCGCACTCTCGCCATCTCTCTGCGCGTGTTAATGACTTCAATGATTTGAAACTGTTGTCTAGCTCGAGGGCTGCCAACTCAGCTCAATTCGTCCAGCGACAGAGACAGAAACAGAGGCCAACGAGCTGGGCCCAAAGCATCATTAAGTCGTCGGTCGCACTAAGCTTCATTTCTTAGCAAGGGAGCAGCCAGGCGCGGAAGGGTTAAGTTGAGGGGTCGAGAGAGGGTTAAGCAGAATTAAAATAAATAAAAACTTCAAGTTTGAGCGCTTAAGCTGTTTGTTCCTCTCCGCCTCTTGAGCATATTTCAACTGCAACATTGTTGCACCCAATGCAGACAGACATAATGAAGGAACCAGTCGCTGACGGGGGCAAAAATGGTTTACCAGGGAGGAGGAGGAGAGCGGAGACTTGATGGCCAGAGCATTTTGTGTCATGCGGCTGCTAATAGATCTGGAAAACAGTGTGAAAAGGAACCACTGACAACTGATTGAGCCCCGGGCCACGATGGATGCAGTGGCTGGGCTGGAAAGCGGGGTGGTTAAGGGGCTAAATGGGAAGTTGCAACTTTGTCGAGTTCCTGTCAAACCGATTTCGCATGTTTCGTGCAGTTTAATGACTCCAAGGTTGCAAGTTCTTGTAAAAATGATGATTAACCCTGATCACAGGGGCAGAAGGAGACGAGATCATCGTAATATCTGTACTGTCTTTAGTGGAAGCTTTAAGAATAAACAAAGTCAAGCTTTACTAAGTGGAACAACCCCATCAGCTCAATAGATCACCTCTAAGAAATGTCCAATCTATTGGAGATTTTCTTTAAATTGAAAGCCATAAATCGCCATCAATGCGGTGCAGGAAAATCTCTTCCAGGAAAAGTGCTTGGCTATGGCGGTTATTTATCGGTAAACTGCTAGCGGATGGAGCCCACCCAGGTCTTTTTTTTGGCTTAACAATGTAAGAGATTTATACACTAGCCGCCCTCTCCCACGCCCACCACTACTACTTGCTAAAAAGAAAACAATTCATATTTTCTCCTCATTTCGGTCTGGCGTTGTAAAATGAATCAAGCCAGAGTGGCCAGAGGAGGAGGCGGAGTGGCGGGGCAGAGTGGTAATCGAGCATACAAGCGCATTAAGCACCAGACAATTATGTTGCGGCAACATTGTTGCAGTCAAGCGCCGTCGTCGTCGTCGTCAGCCACGCCCCTCTACCCCTCTGCCTACCTGCCAACCCCCCCTTCCCGCAAGTCCTCACCAATTTTTTTCGGCTTACTCTATTCCGTTGTCAGTGCGAGGAGTGTGTGCTTTTTCTGCATGCGCAATTTAAATTTAGTCAGCTGGAAAATTTTATGAGGCCGAAGTCATAAAAAGCTGCTGAATTGCGGAGAACAAGAGGGGTGGAGCGGGCAGTGGGCGGCGCAGAAGAAGTGACTGCGATGGGCTGGCCCTCATTAGCGTGACTGTACCGAAAGATACTAGCTACGGATTCGGGAACAACTAGTTTAAAGTATCTGCTAATTACGTCTGCCATTCGAATGCCGTAAAGTTGGGGGATTAGGGGTATCGCCTTTAAAGAGATTTCCATATTTTTGTAGTTTTCAGTTTTTAATGCCTTTTGTATGTGTCGGTTCATTATTGGGGAGTAGACATTCTGCCTCCTGACAGCATGTCCAACAAATTTTAACGATTTGCCAACAAAATGTTAATTAAAATGTTAACAGGAATGTCCCCCCTATGGATCCCGCTTTCACCCTCCCAGCACTGCGGGATAATCAAAAACCAATACCAGAGCTGATACTCCCCCCAATCACACTTTCAGGTCCCATCCCTTTGCGTTAATGCTGCGTCATCATTTGATATTCATGAGGCAGTCTGAAAATGTCCAACACAGAGGGTAGGGGTAGGGGGGTTGGAAAAGCCGGGCTTGGGGAGCAAGGAATTTGTCCGACACTCGCAGTCACGTCCTTGTGAACCTGCAGTGAAAATTTAAATAAATGCTCGCGTTGTCCCTCCACTTTTTGCATATACAATACATCGCTCCCGGTTTTCCTCCGCTTTTCCCGCACTTGACCGCCTGCGAGTGCGAGTCCATTAGCGGGAGTCCAGAGAGCAACTCGCTTGGCCATAATCACCTTGTTGTTTGTCGGCCGGAACACCTTTAATGGTGCCGAGGGGCGGACAGGTGTCGTTACGGCGGATAATCATTGCCGGCGTTGACTGGAGGACTTCCACGGGAGCGGCGGGCCCCATCAAATAAACGTAATTCAATGCACATAATGACAACAAGATTTCCATTTTTGACTCCACTTTTTGTCGCTGACGCTTTTCCGAGCCACAACAGCAGCCGTGGAGCAGCTTAGAGGGTCTTTGTTGGTATTTGCATATGGCCAATTGGGCAAAGTCAACAGAAAGCGGGAAAATTCATCGAAGGCAAGCCAAAAAATATGATTACGAAGGGGAAAATATGGTGGGCCAGTGGGGCAGATATTATGTGGCATTAGGACGGACGACTATAATGATCATAATTCAGATTAATGTCAGGTTTCGGGAAGATAATTAGGGCAAGTGACTTAACATTTAGCATAAGGCCGTGAAGGATTCTCACCTTTAAGACCTTCTTTCCTCTCCCTTTCCTTGGAAAAACCCTCTGCTTAGTGGTGTTGGAGTAAAACTTTATTCTGGATTGTTTTTGGATTGGAAACGTTACAAATATGGCGAAAACCTCGAACGCTGATCGATACGCACTACGCTCTAACATTGGATGTATTTAGTTCGATAACGATGTGTTGTGGCTGTCAATCGAGGGTGTACTGTGGGGTGTGAGTAAAACTTACGCACTAATTCGAGTTGCTTCACTGGAGTTAAGTGTGTGTGTGTGTTCGGTGTGTGTTGGGTGTGAATGGGGGCTTTGCAGATGCAAAATGCAAAACGCAGTCGATAACAGTGTTGGCCACATCCTTGAACCATTTACACTCACAGTCACAGTCACAGGCATAGGCACACGCTCACTCACTCTCACACGGCAACTGAAAACGTTGCACATACGACCCGTATGCACGCTAGTTGCTTCCTCCTCTCCGCTTCTGATACCGCTCCGATACCACCACACTCTCCGTTTGCCATTCTCCATTCTCGACTTTGCTCTTTCACTTTTCACTCCTGCTCGACTGGGTGCAGCCAAGTGTTATGCAACTGCTTAAAGGACTTTATCGTGTGAATTCTTTGCTGATTTGCGTTGTTTGAGTTGTGATTTGTGTGGTGTTGTGTTGTGTGCCTCATCTCATGCTATCTCCGCCTCATCCGGTTATCCCCTGGAAGGAGCATCCTCGTCCTCTTTAGAGCAGATAGCATTTCCTCCGCCAGCAGGAGCAGGTGCAGTGTCCATGCCGATAGTAGCGACAGAGACACTTGAGATACTTGTAGCCCGCACAGCAGTGATGGGAGTGCGAGTGCGAATGCGAGTGGTAGTGGCTGTAGCAGGAGCTGTCGTGGAGACAGTACGAATAGCAGCCGCAGTCGCACATCTTTTCGCCGAGTGTAGTCTCCTTGCCTTGCCTTGCCTTGACTTCTGTGGAATCTGGAGTTTGAAGCTTGTGGAATCCTCGAAGCTCTTGCGGTGCGTCCCAGCTCCTTGGCTCGCTGTTGCCCAACTGATTTCTGGCCAACGCTTCGTCTTTCGACTTGGCTTAGGTTAGTTTGCCTCCAAGTGACGGCCTCCAAGTCGAGTCGGATACCAATGGTTACCGGCGGGAGCCCAAGTTTGATCGATCGCGGAGATATATTTGCGTATTTGGGTGGCCAACATTCGTACCACGAACCGGAGCCAGCAATATGCAATATGGGTTAGCGCTGTTGTTGTTATGGCAATTCATGTGGAAATCATGTCAATTGATTTTGGCCAACTAGGCCCCCATCTCTGTTCCTGTTATTTGAAAACCACACAAACAGACTAATCAAAGAGTTAGAGGGTATGGTTAGAGGGTATGGTTAGAGGGATCTAGGCTGGCATCGAAGTGGAAATCTCTCTATTAAAATGACAGCCTCTTTCATCTTCTAAGAAGGCCTTTCCTTAACTTACTTTAAAAGGAGGAATATTTTTAATTTAGTTCATAGTACTTAGCAAATAGCAGGGTATCCCCTCGGCCACACCCACCCCACTCTACTCTGCAAACAGTTTCTGCCTGGCACCGCGCACTCAACTCAACTCAACTCAACTCGAGGCGCATGATTAATTCGCAATGTTGTCGCTGATTTTATGACCGAAATATTTGGGTATATTTTGTGCATTAGCCAGCGTCGGCCTGAAATAGACTTGGCCAAATGCAAATTCATGCCTGACCCACATTGGCGGCCGAGGCATTAGTCACCGCCGTGGGTATCTATCTCAGATAGGGGCACCTTAGTCGCGTATCTGCAGCTCTGCTGCTGCAATCGATGACACACGCGGCGAGTGCAAACTGACGTCATGAAGACGGTTGTTTGTGTTTTCTGGCTGAGATCTGTTAAGTTCTCGGACTGCAAATGAGATCAGGGGATCTGCACTGGGTAAGGTCATCTCAGTAGCTCGATAATTAGCTTACCAAAGCTGCTAATTGCTAGTTTCAGTTTGCTTTACTTGATGTTTAAAGATCATTAGCTAAAGTAACTTCTTGAGGTGGACTCGATGAGGTAAGACTTCCTCTCACTGGTAAGACGTCAACTTTAAATTCATGTCATGTGGCATAATCGATCGTGTATTTTCCCCGTAAAGTTCCCTTATTACAGCCTGTGCCTCCCCTTAATTTGCACTGTGGCACATGCGTGCTGCTTATCGGCTATCTCCTTATGTTTTCATTATTATTTTTTCGGGGGTTTAACCCTTGTTTAGGGTCCAATTAAAGTGGCGAGGACACGTAACGTGGATTTAATGTCAGGGACAGCACAGCACAGGACAAGGAGCGGTGGGTCGGTGGGGCGGTCTCTGTGCTGTTGCTGTTGCTGTTGTCAAGTGTCCTTGTGCGCTTTAAAGTATTTGCACACGTATCCCCAATGGCGAAAAGTTTTGTCAGCTAGCCAAAACCTGGTTAAAAACGAAAGGGCTGGGGCATGGAACTCAGTTCTCGGATTGGAGAAGGTTGCAAGTGCATGGTTTTCAGCAGTTTAGTTCAAGTTGTTTCAAGTAACACTCAAAGGACAACGGGGCGGACAAATAACGACGGCCCTCGGACCGCGTGGACTAGGGACAGGAAAACAATCGCAGGTCCTTGACGGAATTGCGATTGCGGGGACTGAAAGCTCCGGCTGTCAGTGTGTGGCAAATAATGGTGTTGCGTGTCGTTTTTGCCACAAAACGATGATGATAACCGAGAACTCCACCGCGTCAGCTGACTCTGGAAATGACAAAGCCAACAACAAAAAATCAACCTAAGCCCCGAAGCCCCGAAACCCCGAAAAAAGAGGGAAATAATGCACCGAGCTATGCAAGAAAATAAACTTCTTCCGGGCCAAGTTCCTCGTGGTCTCCCCGCAAAGACCGTCACTGACACTTAAATTAAATTTGTTTCCATTTCGGCGGCGACACTTTCGGTTCGTTTCGCTTGGGTTCGGTTCGGTTTTCTTTGGGGGCAGGAAAAGCTGGGAAATGCATTTTCCAATGAAATAAATTAAACCGAAAGCAAAGCAAATTGTGTACTCCAACTTGCCGAAACTAAATGATGTCCACACGTGGGAAAGGGGCAGAGGTGGCTTAACCCCAGAAAGTAAAAAAAAGATCGCTGCAGTTGCTCAAGACACCCGAAACCCAACCATTTTTTGTGAATAAAAATCTTTAATAGTGCTTAACAAACTCATTCTTATGTGTTTTAGCAAGCATTTTGGGTGAAATTTGAACTTAAAAAACAGTAAAATAATAGTAACTTTTCCCTCCTTTTCCCCTTCCCATACACCCGTGGATTGCCTCAACTGACAGACAATAAAGTCACCGCAAATGTTGCAACAGTTCGGCTTGATGTTACTGCTGTTGCAACTTCTCATACAGCTTTGCATGCGGATGTGCGGATTTGTGGGTGTGCCACTGGAATATCTCACAGCATCGACGCCAGCAACATCAACAGGAACATTCCATGTCCATGTCCATCTGACTTTCCTCCATGGCCATACTGTTCCCGACTGCAGAATGGAACCCAAATTAACCATAAGGAATGGTGTGCTGCACTGCGAGAATGTACAAGTAGATTCCCAGCAGTAAATGAAAAAGTTTCTCTTTATTAAACCAATTTCATCTGTCATTTGGTCATTATATTAAGAGCTCAACGTGGTTTAAGATTCAATATTTAATTCAAAGTATCTTCAGGTTTGAATTCATCTCGACAGGGAATTAAATTACGAACTGAAAGACCTATCACACTTCGCATTTCGACTTTTTTTGACAACGTTGTGGGAAATATTCTGATACTTTAAGCATAAAATGAAAATTATAAATTTTTAGTTCAATTTGCAATATTTTTCCCAACTTTTATAACTTATATAACTTATATAAATTATAACTTTGTCAAATGATGAGACAGAACCAAAAGGAAAGCTTTATGAAGCTAACGACCGGAACAAACTTTCTGTATCATTGTTATGCTGATTATCGCAAATTTATTTTTTCTCAAATTTCGCATTTTTTGTAAGGGGTACCATCATCATTTTTTCGAAAAATTAGAAAAATATTTTTTTTCATCAGATTTGAATGGGACTTCATTATTTTGAAAATAGATTAAAATACAAGCTCAACCACGTATTGCACTCCATTCTGCGACTATTTTTGGCCTTGTAGTGAAGCAAATACTGATATTTTGAGGTACAAATCGGGACATACCGATTTTCACATTTTTTGAACATCATAAAATTTTACGATAAATCTCCAAAAATGTCCTTTTTGAGTGTGGTACACAGTTCGACGGGGAATTTAAATACGAACTCAATGAGGTATAACATTCCATGATATGGCCATTTTTGGCTTTGTAGTAAAGAAAATACTGCAATTTTGAGACACAAATCGGGACAGACCGATTTTCGCATTCAAAAAATTTTACGAAAAATCTCAAAAAATGTACTTTTTGAGTGTGGTACACAGTTCGACGGGGAATTTAAATACGAACTCAATGAGGTATAACATTCCATGATATGGCCATTTTTGGCTTTGTAGTAAAGAAAATACTGCAATTTTGAGACACAAATCGGGACAGACCGATTTTCGCATTCAAAAAATTTTACGAAAAATCTCAAAAAATGTACTTTTTGAGTGTGGTACACAGTTCGACGGGGAATTTAAATACGAACTCAATGAGGTATAACATTCCATGATATGACCATTATTGGCTTTGTAATGAGGAAAATACTGCATTTTTGGGACATAAATCGGGACAGACCGATTTTCGCATTCAAAAAATTTTACGAAAATCTCAAAATATGTACTTTTTGAGTGTGGTACACAGTTCGACGGGGAATTTAAATACGAACTCAATGAGGTATAACATTCCATGATATGACCATTATTGGCTTTGTAATGAGGAAAATACTGCATTTTTGGGACATAAATCGGGACAGACCGATTTTCGCATTCAAAAAATTTTACGAAAATCTCAAAATATGTACTTTTTGAGTGTGGTACACAGTTCGACGGGGAATTTAAATACGAACTCAATGAGGTATAACATTCCATGATATGACCATTTTTGGCTTTGTAGTAAAGAAAATACTGCAATTTTGAGACACAAATCGGGACAGACCGATTTTCGCATTCAAAATATTTTACGAAAAATCTCAAAAAATGTACTTTTTGAGTGTGGTACACAGTTCGACGGGGAATTTAAATACGAACTCAATGAGGTATAACATTCCATGATATGACCATTTTTGGCTTTGTAGTAAAGAAAATACTGCAATTTTGAGACACAAATCGGGACAGACCGATTTTCGCATTCAAAATATTTTACGAAAAATCTCAAAAAATGTACTTTTTGAGTGTGGTACACAGTTCGACGGGGAATTTAAATACGAACTCAATGAGGTATAACATTCCATGATATGACCATTTTTGGCTTTGTAGTAAAGAAAATACTGCAATTTTGAGACACAAATCGGGACAGACCGATTTTCGCATTCAAAAAATTTTACGAAAAATCTCAAAAAATGTACTTTTTGAGTGTGGTACACAGTTCGACGGGGAATTTAAATACGAACTCAATGAGGTATAACATTCCATGATATGACCATTATTGGCTTTGTAATGAGGAAAATACTGCATTTTTGGGACATAAATCGGGACAGACCGATTTTCGCATTCAAAAAATTTTACGAAAAATCTCAAAATATGTACTTTTTGAGTGTGGTACACAGTTCGACGGGGAATTTAAATACGAACTCAATGAGGTATAACATTCCATGATATGACCATTTTTGGCTTTGTAGTAAAGAAAATACTGCAATTTTGAGACACAAATCGGGACAGACCGATTTTCGCATTCAAAAAATTTTACGAAAAATCTCAAAAAATGTACTTTTTGAGTGTGGTACACAGTTCGACGGGGAATTTAAATACGAACTCAATGAGGTATAACATTCCATGATATGACCATTATTGGCTTTGTAATGAGGAAAATACTGCATTT